TAAATCTAAAAAGAATTTTACATAAAAAATGTTTTTTGGATTTTTTTCTGAAAAGTTTAAAGAACAAAACATTACAAAAATAGTCCCATTTAGTCAATTTTTAAAAAAGTTAGGTATTTGGAAAAAGAGCCGTATTTTTTTATTGTAACTTTTTTGGCTGGTTAAAAAAATTGTGAGAAACTTTTTTAGTGGGGTAGCAACAGATAAAAATTCAGCCAAATCGAAAATGGTCAATTTGGCGTGGAATTCCCCATATAATCTATAGACATATAAATAAAACACTTTGGGGTCTAATTGCTAATTCTTGAACTTAAAACGAAATACGTAAAAAATTACACATATAGGTTACCTATACCTATAATAGGCACCAATTGATGTAAATGCAAAGTATCGAATTAAATTAATAAAATAAAAGTATATTTAAACATGTAAACATTAGGTAATAGGTCTTTTGATAATCTGTGGTTTTGCCAAGTAAGTCATAACTTGGGTTGTACTAAAATCCTGACTGGATCTCAATGGTAAAATTCCGTTTTTCATTTTTAATTCATCCTCTTTTTTTTCAGAAATCTTATTAGTCTTATTTTTTTTCTTAATCTTTCTAACTTTTGTTTTTGACTGAATCTCCTCTTTAGAGTTTACAATATCATTTTTTCCTTTGGTGGTTTTAGTTTTAGTTTTTTTCTTTAAGGTTTTTTTCGAAGAAAGAATAGATTTTTTTTCGTCTTGAACTTTGTCTATGGTAATTTGGGATGAAGCCGATATACTGTCAAGTTCTTCTAACTCTGGTTCTTCATAAATGACGTTTTCATTGGGTTCGCTTTTCTTTTTTAATTCTCGTATTGCTTGAACCATCCTTTCATATTTTGTTGATTTCTTAGGTTTTTCTGGAGCTTCCTAAGGAAACAAATTATATATAGACTTGTATATTAAACACTGTGTGCCAATATGTTTTCATAATTTCTTTGTTCTTTGAATTAAATTTTTTTTTAACAAATTTTTTTGTACTGAAACGCCTCTGTTACAGGAAGTATTCGACGATAATTGTATGTATTGTATTGTATGGACAAATGGTATAAAAATTTATTCGACTTGTTCAAAAAGAGTTGCCACTGCAATTTGCGACTTTTTTTTGTATACCTTTATAACCATTGTTTTCTTTAACATATTATTCAAAACTTTTAATTCTTCCAGTGTTTTTCCATTTAATTTTATGGATGTACCTTGGGAATACCTCTAAAATATAATTTTTATATTTTGTGTGGGATAAAAACTAAACGTTACCTTAAGAACATTATCTTCATCATCAGAACTTTCAATATTAAAGTACCTTCTCTCCTGAAAAACTACAAATTAATAATTTATTCTAAAAAGTTACATTATTTTACAATTTCTTTGACAGTTTGCTTATTTTTTTGTTCACTTCTGAGTATTTTCCCTTGAATATTTGAATTTGGTATTGAAGTTCCTTTAATCACTCTTATTTGATTTTCGTTGCCCCATACTGGATTTATATTCTTAAATAAATTATAATATAGAAAATTAATAATTAATGTAATTTTACCAATAATTTTTTTCTTAAAATCCTTGTAGTTATGGCAAGGTTTGTGGCCTTTAAATCTTTAGGCGGGTCTTCCCTTAAATCTTCTAAACTCATTGAAAAGTTGTTCTTTCAAAATATTTCAAAAACACAATTGACCACAGACAGGTCTGTGCAATTGACCATTAAACATACTCAATGACAGGTGTCAAATATGGCTTTAAAAGCAAATTGTTTTTATAAATTTGTCATGTCAGCTTCATAAATTTCATTAAAAAAAAACAAACAACAAGGTCTGTTCTATATCGATATCTCCCAAGAATTGTATTCCTATTAGAATATCGAGTACATATTCGAATATTCAAATAATCGTATTTTTAAATATTCCAATATAAAATTTTTCAAATAATCGAAACTATTTAATCAATGTAAAAATTCGTATCTCATGTTTAAGTTTTGCTAGGATTATATAATTAAACATTTAATAAATAAATAAATTTACCAATTTTCTCGAAAACAAGTTTTTTAGCGCCACCCTTACATACAGTGTGACCCATTTGTTTGCGACCCACCCCTGTAAAATCTTTATTTATTGTGCGATTTTAACCAGATTTGTTTTAAAGTGTAGATCTTGATAAACTGTATTTTTGGAGCAAAAAACGTCATATTTTACAAAATATAAAGCTTACTATGTCAGTTTTTAAGAAGAATTCATATTAGCGATTTTTTTAAACATAATCTATATCGTAAAATAAAAATCAAATATATGCATATACCTAGGCAACTGTACAATATTAAAATCCAAAAAAAAATTAAAATCTCAAAATATGGAATAATAAGGTGTCTTAAAATAAAAAAAGAATAAATATAGAAGAATTAAAAACAAATTATTTAGTTTAGTTTTGTTTGGCCAAGACTCTGCTCCTTTGCCACAGATTGTTAATAGTACTAACTAATCACAAACTATTCTTCATAAAAAAAAATTTCATTAAAACGGCTTTCATAAATTATTTTTTCTTTTGTGATGCATTTATAAACATTTTTTTACTTGTACCTAAATAATAATACATAAATGTAATTACATACACATTTTTATTTTGGATGTAAAGTGTAGCAATACTTATACTCTAATTATGAATAAAAAAATAACGCCCTTCCAATATTACTCACACATTAATAATGGCGAATCTTCTCAACGCTTCCTCAACTAGTTAATTAGTCACAATTAAAAAAATTACAATCGATTATACAGAGTGTTCTCAAAATATTTAAAATAGTAACATGAACATAGTGCAATTACTTCTAAATGAGCTAAAGCCTTTTTATATTATATATAGAGGGTGTTTTAAGAGAAAAAGTTTATACAAACTAGACATCTGCTTTATTTTGGAGTAGGGTGCTCAAAATTGAAAAAAAATGTCTGTGCAAGGTCATTGACGAACTTTCAATTAATTTTATTAGAAAACTGTGTATCTAATCGGGTTAAGACAAGACGAGCTTGTTTACATAAATAACTGCAACATGTTGATCCAAAAAGTCAATACACAAAATTTAAACTTATTAACTTATTTATAGTAAGTTTGGACTAAAAAGTTAGGTATTTTTTTATCCCCACAGGTTTTAAAAAATATTTAGAAAAAAACATTTTCAGGAAAGGACTTGTAAGGGACTCTAGCTCACTTTGAGTGGATCCACTCCATGGAGTGGTCTCTTACATTATTTTGAGTTCTACCACCTAGTAAATAATTAACTATTAATCGATGTCTCAATCTACAGATGTCCGGTTTCCTTTATAAATATAAGATATAAGAAGGAAATCTTGGTCAATCGGACCAACGAAACTTTTAAAAAGATGTAAAGGGTAAATCCAGTTAATCCCGTCGCATTCGCCATTTTCGGATGTATTGAAACACCGTTTTTTTCCAACACATTTGGCACATCTAGTTAAGTGTATTAAAATTTAATTTAATAATTAATAAAATTTAATTAATTTAATGTGCTTTATAAATAACATGTTTACGAAAATATTGTTTATAAAATGTAGCGAACCAAACGCTACAAGACATGGAACCTTTTTGACAACTGACAACAGACTAAAGTTAACTAAATTTAGTAACTAAACATAATAATAGGCAAAGAACTTTGATGATAAGGCTATATATTACCTATATACGTATAGGTATATAAACACTAGGGTGAGCCAAAAAAACTAACCTATCGGATTTATGGGTTAAAATGAACCTACATACCGAGCAAAAAATTTCCCTGCAAGGCAAAATTTTTTGCTCAATTTTAAAAGGTGTCGGTGAGCTTTCTAAGTTTTCCATTGAAATAACACGTAAAAAAATCTTTTTTCATTAAAAAGACTATAACTTTTGAACCGTTTGAGATAAAATTTTTTACGTCGCGGATTCTTGTAGAGCATAAAATTTCCCAAAGAATCTATACCAGGATTATTTTTTTTAATTCGAAAATTCGTATGTTTGAAAGCTTTGAAAAGTGTAAAAAATCACTAAAACTGCACCCGAGTCAAAATTTAAATCGTAATTTAAACCTACTTTGACCTACCAAAACTGATTTAAAACCTGTTCAGTCTGTTTACTCCAATTTAGCACTAGAACAACCGAATTAATCTTAATTTGAACCGATTTAAACCGATTTAAACCTCTAATAAAATTTTTGGTTTAAATTTAAACGTAATTAGAACCGAAAAATCGGGAAAATGGACTTATCTGAAATGTTTTAGGTCATAAGTTGGTTATCTTTAGGCGAATATAAAACCGTTTAAGACGGAAATTGTCAGACTTAAGGTTTAAATTACGATCTTAATTTTGACTCGGACAGTTTGTATGATTTTTTACACTTTTCAAAGCTTTCAACCATACGAATTTTTGAATTAAAAAAAATAATCCTGGTATAGATTCTTTGGGAAATTTTATGCTCTACAAGAATCCGCGACGTAAAAATTTTTATCTCAAACGGTTCAAAAGTTATAGTCTTTTTAATGAAAAAAGATTTTTTTACGTGTTATTTCAATGGAAAACTTAGAATGCTCACCGACACCTTTTAAAATTGAGCAAAAAATTTTGCCTTGCAGGGAAATTTTTTGCTCGGTATGTAGGTTCATTTTAACCCATAAATCCGATAGGTTAGATTTTTTGGCTCACCCTAATAAACACTTTAGATATGTTCACGAATAGAAGAAAAAAATGACACAAATCGGGTTTATACAAGACGTCTAGTCAATGTTTTTATTTTAACATTTTATTGCTTTTTTAAATATAAATTTACGATGGGTGCTTATAAGATTTATAAAATATAAAATGTCGTAAGAACGCGTTATCACTGTCTAATAACTTAATTATGTGAATAAATGATTTAACAATTTTAAAATCATATTAAAATAACTCAAGGCTACCAATTAAAATAGTGTATTATTACTGCCAACTGTTGATAAGATAGTATAGCTTCTGTACACATAATGAAACGACTTAAAAAAATCTGTTAAACGTGTGCAATATTTAAATATTAAAAATATATAAAAAATGGAGTTTGCAATCGGTGGTATGGCTGCGGTGGGTGCTGGGTTCTTCACGAACCCATTGGATGTGGTAAAATGCAGGATGCAGTTGCAAGGAGAGCTCCAAGCCAAAGGACATCACGCGGTGCACTATAGAAATGTTTTCCACGCCACCTACATGATTGTTAAACACGATGGCGTTTTAGCGTTGCAAAATGGCCTGGCGCCAGCTCTGTTGGTGCAGCTGGTTCTGAATGGAATTAGGTTAGGTAAAATATTGTTAGCGCTATTTTATAATATGTTTTTATTGTTTGTTCTTTAATTATTTATTTCCGTTTAGGAAATAATTATAAAATATCCAATATATGCATACAAAATATTTATTACATACTACTCTCTAAAAATGAATTAGTCAAAAATGACTAATTACCACAGTTATTAGTGACTGCTTTTTCACTTATACCATGGTTAACCATGGAATCCCTTGTGGAAATTTTTCTCTGAAAAAGTTTTAATAAGTAAAAATAAGAGTTTTGAAAGTCTTACTTTCTCTTAAAAACTAAGACTTATTAAGTCTGAAAAAGTCTGAATAAGTCTTAGTAAGTCAAAATAATAGCAAGATTTGGGAGTCTTCTGGAAGAGATAATAAGACTTCTAGTAGAGAAATGGTAGGTACCTATAGCGATAAAAATAAATATCCGGAATAATTCAGAGAGGTTGTATTTGATTATTGTAAAATAAAACACATACAATAATATGATATGAGTTCTTTATGCTATTTTATCTTTTTTGCGTTCATATAGTCATTATAATGACTTCATTGTAACACTGCTTTCGGTGCTGTAATGAGGTATTTACTCCACCCAAAATTTTGATTTTATAGGTTGGCTTTAAACAGTATACAAGTAAAATAATATTTTGCATATTGCCCAGATAACAAACATGAGGGGCATCAAAACGCACATCGCCTTCACATCGTGCGGAATCATGCGTGACGGTAAAAACGCTGCGATATGATATTCATTTTATGACGAATGGGAATACACGCATGTGATTGGTATATGAGGGCATGAAATGATTGCAAACTTTTTACTTTTGCTCACAAAATTGTAGATGTAATACTAGATCTTCATTATATTTTGCGAAAATTGTTCAATTTCGCACTAAATCAATTTTATGAATGATTAACAGCCGAGTTTTGGACTTGCCTTGTCCTAATTTGATTGTTTTTTACAACGTTTCGATTAGTAATTCTAATGGTCTTTAGGTAATAGCTGAAGACATCTAAAGATAATTACTAATCAAAACGTAAGAAAAACAATGAAATTAAGGCAATGAAGTCCAAACTTCACCTGTTAATCATGCCCAGAAAAATTTCTCCAAGTGCTGGCTATATGAACCTCAATTGATGACGCAAATTATGCATATATGTGACATACGTGCGGATTAAGACCAATTGGTTATAATATTTTTATGATTTTTCTAGTACTTACGATTCTGGCAATAAATTTTGTTTAATACCAAAGAAAATCATTTTTTATCTTTAACATTAACAGCCGCTTATTGTAAATAAGTAAATTAAGGACCCCATGGCGAATCGATTTTGACATTAACCCTTCATCAAACCTTTAAATAAAAAACCTCAGGAAGGACCCTGCCGAATCTCGTTAATGTAATAAATTTACAACGGAAGTCGCCTTTTTAAGAGTCCGATTATGAGTCATTTTTTCTGACAGATGACAGTTTGTGTTTGCTTATTTACATGTTTAAGCGTTTTTGGTTTATTTAATAGCGTTTTTTGTTGGTCAATAGCATTTCCCAGATAGCACAGAGACATCTTAAAGATGTCTGATTCGGACGTTTATGACATCTCTAAGACGTCCAGTTTACGATGTAAGTAATCTTTAAGACGTCTTTAAGATATCTAAAGTTACAAAACACAGCGTCTTTGTGTTTTCTTTTGAAATAACCAAATACAACATCGGATTTAGGGAATAATTTTACAAGGAAATTGACTGCTAAATGTTCTGGAAACAAATTGCTATTGACGAGAATTATTAGTGGCTGCTTTTTCACTATGACAATTAGTCATTTTTGACTAATTCATTTTTAGAGAGTAGCCATATTCATTATAATTCTCTGATGGATATACGCGAATACCAAACGTTAAATTTACTTTTGAAATTACCAAATACAACATCTCTGAATAATTCCGGATAATTATTTTAATCGATATAGGTATACCTACCATTTCCCTGCAAAAAGTCTTATTAACACTTCCAGAAGAATCCCAAATCTTGCTATTAGTCTGACGTACTAAGTCTTATTCTGACTTTTTCCGAACGTAAAACTTTCAAAACTGTTACTTTTACTTATTAAAACTTTTTCAGAAAAAAATTTCCACAAGGGATACCATGGTTAACCATGGTATCCCCAACATTTACATCAAATTCTTATGTAAAATTGTCCCCTAAATCCGAAAATACCGTCAAAAATTATGAAAGTGGAGCAGTTTTTGAGATATCGTCAATTCCATATTTTATGGAAATTTGACTACCTATATCTCAAAAACTGTTCTACTTTTATAACTTTTAACGAAATTTTCGGATTCAGGGAACAATTTTACAAGGAAATTGACTGTTCGGGATATAAATAGACTTTTTTAAAATTATTTCCTGCTATTTTCGCTATTTCCAATATGGGTATTTTGTTATAAATTATTTTGCAATTTGTGCAATTTATGAATTGTTTTTCCTATGGGAAAAAATAAAAATAATTATAGTATACAGTGTGTTCCCGGATTGACGTTAAGGAAGGTGTAATAAACCAAAAAAATATTATTACGGCTTTTATTTTATGAAGTCTCAGCCTGCTTGACATAAAATAAGTTTTCACCATATTGGTACCATAGATAAGGTTTTAAGTGTTAAGTGTTAATTAAGTATTAACCAATTGGTACATTAGTGATATTAATTTAATGTATAATACGGGACTTTAAGGATAGACAAGTAGGGCAAAAATAAAGTAAAAATTAGGATATGCAATTGTTTTATTCTGCCCGTAAGTACATATTCGTTGCATACACTGAGGAGATCTGCAAATACCCCTACTAAACAATCCGTGGGTTATTACGAACCTAATTGTTTAAAATAAATGTATTCAAAAAGTCATGTAACATTTAAATTTAGCGGGAAGTATAAATGTATTTGACGTGCCGATTGCCAAACGATTGACGTAGACGGGCACTCCTGTTTTAGGTGGGAAAAGTAAGGGGGAGAATACGGCATTCGAGACGGGAAGGGAAGAATGGACTCCGTTTTTCCCTTCCTGTCTCGAATTCCGTATTCTCGGGGAATTCCCGTTCAACGGAGATCAATCTCAGATCATTCGATGAAAACCGGTGCAACGAAAAACATGCGTAGCAAACAACTGTTAAAATTTTAATTTTTGGGTCGCAAACGTCATTACCGTGCCTTGTTCACATTCGAAGAACAACAACATATTAATTTCTTACAATTATTTACAAATTAAATCTTGCAATGTCCTGTCTAACACAGACGAAGAAAATACAAAATAATACAATGCAAGCAAGAAATTGCAACTTTTCTTTTAATGCCGTTTAAACTTTGTTCACACCTATAAGCGTCATTGCCGTGGCTACTTAAAATGTGTCTAATTTCTTATTTAAATACGCGATACATTCGAACGTCTGATATGGAAATATCCTGCCTGCCTAACGTCCACTAGCATATATGCTGGACGTTAGGCAGGCAGGATATTTCCATATCAGACGTTTAGACATATATGTCAAGCCATAAAGTTGAGACATGCGCCGAATGAAAACGAAAGCGGCTTGTTACGTCTAAGTCCGTCATTGTCGGGGTAAGTATTATTTCAAAGTTTATGGACATACAAAATATTTACATTAATACAAAGGAGTCTTGCATTAACAAAAAGCAAATGATAACTTGAAAATTCCATTACATTTTCGAATAAACATTGTAAAACACTCTAACCTTAAAATCATCATTACCGTGCTCGTCATTGTCGTGTCCTTACATGAAACCAATTTAAAATATTTCAATTCAGTGGGAAATTAATTAAAATGACAAAACCACGAAACAAGTTGAACAACGAAACTAAAAGATAAGCAGAACGTGAGAGACTCAGAAGAATAAGAGATGACCAAGTAAAACCGTGGGTTCAACTTTCTAAAAAAGATAAAAAAAAATTTTACGTTTTTAGTCTTCATGTCTATGTTCATGAGTGGAAAAGTCCTAAAAGTGCAAAATTAATAAGATTTGCAATTTTTTTATGTGTTTATATGGTTCCGAAAATCGACAGTTTTAAAATATTCACCCATATATCAAGAGTTTTATGCTGTCTGGAGAGTTGCTAACTTTTATAAACGTAGCAAATATAACTAATTATTAGTCATTTTTGACTAATTTGTTTAGTGTAAAGCCAGTATTTTAAAAAAAGTAAACGTTTGGTGTGCCGTTTAAACGATGGGATAGTTAAATCTTATTTTGTGGACAGAAATTGAAATCAATATGTATATTTGGAGATTATGCATAATTATTTACAAAATTACCGACGAAATAAATTTGGATAAGAGGCAAGACAAATATTATCAGCAAGAAGGTTGCAGCCCACACTTAACTCTTTTAATTATAATATAGAAATTATATGTATTTTACATTTGGGAAAAATGGATGGTTAGATTTGGGCCACAGCCATTCCCACCAAGAAGGATTTCACAATTATGGAGTTTTACTTTTGGGGCAAACTAAAACAATAAGTTTATAAAGACAAGTTTAATAGTGATTTAAAAAGATTAAAAATAAAAATTGGTGAAGAAGTTACAAAGAATTTAGAACAAAGGTGAGATTATGTAGTAATTTAGGTGGGGCACTATTTAAATACTCCTCTTGCATAATATTGTTTTTTTGCGTATATAACGATAAACATTGTTAGGTATCAATGATTGGCCCATTTCAATGTTCAGTGTGATTTAAACCAATCGGGTTTTAAATTGGGAGAAGGCGACTATAAAAATATTTAAAAATTGTAAAACGTAAGGTTAACCATTTGACAGATTGGAGTAGATAAAGCATAGTATTACACTCGAGATTATGTGCATTATCTTTCGTATTATAATATACTACTACAACGATTTATTTTCTTCTTAGATTAATTAACACATTTATGAAAAAATAAACTAAACATTGTTTTTAGGAACCTTTCAATTCATCGAAAATAAAGGTTATTTGAACGATGAAATAGGACAAAGAAGTCACTTTAAAACGATACTCGGGGGTGGATTTAGCGCCTTAGTGGGACAACTGGTATGTACGCCGCTATTTTTGATTAAAACGCACCAACAATCTCAAGCCTCAGCTGTCATCGCAGTCGGCTATCAAAATGAAAAGGCTGGACTGATTAAATCGTTTGTTAACATTTATGGAAAACATGGAGTGAGTAAACATTTTTTAGATTTACCTAGATGTATTTTATTTTTTACTGAAATATTATACTGTTTGAAATACTTGGACTAATTTGAAATTTTCGTTATGAGATGGATAAATATTTTTTTAATAATTTATTTATAGATTAAAGGTTTGTACAGAGGTGGAGTTGCAGGTATACCCAGGGCATCTGTGGGTTCCGCTGCACAATTAGGTACCTTTAATTACGTCAAGGAGTATATTCAGCAATACGAAAATCTGCGAGGTCATCCGTATGTTGTTTCTTTCTTGGGTAGTTTGGTTGGAGGAGTTGCTATAAGTATAATGATGACACCTTTTGATTTGATTTTGACTAGGATATGTAATCAACGTAAGAAAGAAATATAACCATTACCTTGAAATATTCGATTAAAAAGTATTAACTTTATAATACAGGATTGGCTGCTCAGTGGGTTTTTTTGGGTAGAACCCACTTAAAAAAGCCCGCAGGGTTTTTTAAAAGTGGGTTTTTGTCTTAAACTTGAACTTCGATATTTTTGAATATTTTTTATATTGTAAAAAGATAAAACATTACATTTTTATGTATTTAAAAAGTAGTATTTAATAAAAAGCATTTACGAAACAAAACGTAATTTTAAAGTTTGGGGATTTCCCTGCCGATCTATGCACTTAAGTCGTGAAGGAGAAGGTAATGAATTTTTCTTATCGACAGTATTTCTTTTTAATGTTTTTTTTTAAATAAAACCTAATAAAACCCACTTATTAAACCCAAAAAACCCGGGTTTTTGCCAATCCTGCTATAATATAAAAAAATACTATATGCAAACGTAAAATAAGGGTTTATATAAATTTTATTTTTAAGGTAAAAATTTGCTTAACAATTTTTTCCATTATTATTATTATTATTTATATTATAATATTAATTAAACTGGTTTACAGCCAAAATGTACATTCGTTGCCACTATTTTTTCAATTTTAATTTGAATGTATTTTGGCATGCTAAACTAAAAAATCACAATACATAATTTTTATGGCAAGGCTTTTCGAATGCAGCTTTACCAGAGACTACACTGTTATAAAAATAAGATTTGTTAACATATTAATTATATTTTGTAAAATTTTAACATATTTTTTGTAGAAAACCAGGGTTTCTAATTATTTTAAAAAAGGAAAATATTTTACCGAAAGTTTTGTCAAGGTAATATGCAATTTTGTTAGCATTTTGTTAATTTTAAAGGTAAGGCATTACTTTGTTAATTTTTAACAAATTATTTTGTTAAAAAAGTATACGCCAATCAAAACATTTCCCACTGACAATACACATCAACAAGTTCAACTGACTTCAGCATCTGCAACTTATGTTTCTGCTTACTTTATTCTAATTCGTAACGTGTTCGTAGTAACTTTCCAGAGTGTTTATAATATATTACCAGAAATATGTTATTATTGTTATTTGGATTCCTATACCTATTTAACGAGTGTGCAAAGTGCGAAGTATCCAAAAAAAGATGACATCACTGGTTTTCAAACTGAAATTAGGGGATTCAGTAAAGTGTTATAAACACACTTAATTATAAATTTAAATACATTATGAAGTAGTCACTGTGTGATGAAACAATTGTAAAAAGTAAATAAATCACGTAAAACTTAAAAAAAATAGTTGTTTTTATTATCTAGATAATGATAATAATAATAATAATAATATGGAGTTTCATCAAGTAAAGGTCGAAACAATCAAATACCTATTGGTATTGTAAATTAATTGCATGTTACTACAAATTTTTTCGTAAATACCATATTTTTTTCATAAAGTGCAAACTTTACGTGGATAATTCGAATATGGAAATAATTCAATGATTTGTATTTATTTTTTTGACAAAAGGTAAAAGTTATTATTATTTTTGTCCAATTTTTGTTTCAATATTCCAGACCATTGCACTGAGACTATAGTCAACTGATTGGGCATTTAAAGAGAGATATTTATTGGCAACTTGATTATGTTTAATTTGACACCTTTAGCAAACAGGATGGTCGTTTCTTACTCGAGATATTACCCAAGTTGTGAAGCTGACAAAGAAATGAAAAATAAAATAAAATCTCATGTTAATGGAGGGGGGGATCATTAAAAATCTCACGTCAACTTTTGGGTTTAAAGAATATGTAAAATTCAAATTTTTCAAAAAAAGTAATCAATTTTTATTTTTTGGGTTTATGATGTCGTCCGCAAAGAATGTTTAATGGCTAGAATCTCTCCAAATCTCACCAAATCTCACCAAGGGGAGGGAGGGGTCCAAATTATCAGAACAATGCGTCACGTAATTAATGGATGTCCCCTAGGCCAAAATATATTGGAAAAAATACACTGGCACCGAATTTACATTTATTTTAAATTAATTTATAAAAAAATATATGACCCTAGAAAAAATCTGCTAAAAATTTATAACATGTATTTAATTTTACCTCTTTCTTATTTATTTTTAGCAATTGACAAGAATGGACGTGGTATCCTGTACACAAGTTATTTTGATTGTGTAAAAAAAGTATATAGGGCTGAAGGACCTGCGGCTTTTTACAAAGGCATAGGACCAATGTATCTTCGTCTAGGGCCACATACTGTTCTATGTTTATCATTTTGGGACGCTCTAAAACGATTACATGATAAATATTGGTCTATTTAAAAAAGTTTATAAGATATCATTATTGTTGTTGATGTAAATAGCTAGTTGTACGGAAATTTCAGGAAATGAATATATTCTTACTTAAATTTGTTCATTATTTGATAAATCGTTTTATTTTTCATTCATATATTTATACAAATACTTCTGCAGAAGATTATGCAAAAAATGCTCTTTATAATGCATTAATAATGTGACGCCAAGAAATAAATATTTTTTTCTAAATATTAATATTTAGAAAAAATATGTTTGGATACATGACAGTCATGACTGTCATTATTAATGTCATTTTAGACAAGTAAACTCAAATAACACACTAGTGTGTTATAATCCATAACTCAAAGTAAAGTAGTATTCTATTTATTTATTACTAATACAAGCAGAATTCACATTGATATTAAAATTAAAGTCATTGTAAAATTTGTTGGAATTGGAATTCCATCCTCCGTGACGCTTCAAAGTAGTCATGTTAGCCCCTGCATTGGCCAAAAGAGTCGCCGAAGAACTTCTCAGGCAGTGACCGGTGTAGAGCGCTGGTTCCTCCAATTTCAAAAAATTGCAACTCTTGAAGGTATATTCGACCACGTATTTATTCCCACACACTGGCTGGTACCCCTCCCATTTTTGTAAAAAAACAAAAAAGCGGCTAGAACTAAATTTCTTTGGTCTCAAAGGCATGTATTTTTTACACAAATTGATTGACTGGAAATCCTTCTTCAAGTATGGTGAAACTTCTCAATTTCTTGGTTTTAGTGTCTGGCAAAACTACGTGAAAATATATGCCTTTGTCATAAATATTTTCTATTTTAAAATTGACCAATTCATCGCATCTACAAGCACCGCTTCCGTAAGGATATCCTCAGGAACGTAATTTTCAAGCTGCAGGGAACTGACAAGTGTCAAAATTTATTTAAACATTTGCTAACATAGACCAGGGATTAGTTGGGTGGGCGGGGGGTTAGTTAGATAGGCAACTTAGTATTAAAGTTTTGTTCCCTGACTACTGCACCATCTAGCGGGTGTAGTCAAAAATATGTATTAAAATTATTGTTTAAATTTTTTTACTGGATGGTACTGATCCTTTTTTTTACCTCCACTAGATAAATAATTCTAATATTTTTCTAGGAAAGTTCAAAGAGGAATAATAAAACATAATAAAACTACATTTTTGTAATTATTTTATTTGTCAAAATTATATAAAGGCAAAAATTCAAAACACAACTTAAAATTATATATAATTGTAGATATATCTACATCATATGAACTTATCTAACTATTTCATTCCTATAATATTATTGTATAAGGTAAAATAAATTTATAAATAAAAGAACAACAAAAATTTTAATACTTGGTGATTAGAGATCTCTGTTGATGTTGATTCGAATCAACATATTTTTTGTTATTTGGGCAAAAAGCGGGACATACCCTATCGTTTTTTGGAAATCGATGCATTTTTACACTATCTCCCCTGCTTTTGCACTTTTGTACACAACAAGAATAAACCATAATAATGAATACACAATACAAACTTAAAAGGTTATAAAATTTAATAGGTACTTCACAAATTTAAGTTATTCGTTCAAGTCGAATTATTATGACAACTGTCATTATGACAACGGTAGTCTCGGTGACAAAAACAATTTTGGCGACATTAGCGCCTCTGGTAAGCGTAGTCTAAACTTCTCAGCGGACAAGTTTTTGTACAGTAAAGATGCACAACTGAAGCGTGGTAATTAAAAAGCGTCTAAGTGCCACTGCAGTGCTAAGCAAAAAGGTGGTAACTAATGCATTACTTAATATTGTTCAATACATTTGTGCTTTGCACGGCAGAGGCACTTGGACGCTTTTGAATTACCACGCTTCAACTATGTTTGCTAACAATGTATCAGGCCCGTGGCAATGTAAAAAAGTTACTGTCAAGTCATGTCAAGTCATTCTGACATTTATAGGGTCAGTGCCGGTTTAACAGGGGTTTTTTGGGGACTATAGCACCGGGCGGTAAATATTTTTGGGGCGGTACCGCGTACCGCCCTAATTTTTAAAAAAAAATACTTAATCGTTAGAATTTATAAAAAAAAATATTGCGACACTGCGTCGGCGGATACAACGGATACAAATGAGAAAAATGTTGTTAGAGTTGAAGCAGCTTCTCCATCAGAAAAACTTGATTTATTGCATAGAAACGGAATAATTTTAACTTTTTGGATAGACGTTTTGCAAAGGGTTAATGAAACCAATAAACGGGTCAATTCACTAACACGAGTCGTTAACGTTAGCCACTAGAATTAGTGGTTATACTTATATTTAATCGACCTGATTGGCCGGATTGGCCGATAACCACTGATTCTAATGTTTAACGTTAACGACTCATGTTAGTGAATTGACCTGAAAGCAGTCCAAAAACAAAATATGGATTTAAGCACAAATGCTCATCTTTTGTCATTTTTAGTTGAGAACCTTGATTTTTTACTTGATCATTTTGATCATTACGACACTGAAAGAAATTTGTTGCTTAAAGTAAATACAAATGTATACTAAAAATTTTATACTAGTGCTTTACACATTTATACTACTGTTTATTATGAATGTATGTTAAATTTTGTAATACATTTATTGTAAAGAAGATATGTTAGATCTAAATAAAAATAAACTTACCCTTACTATAAAATGTAAACTATAAGTGAATTACAGCAAAAAAATATTGCTAGAAATACCATTTATATTGCTAGGGCAGCAATAGGCTGCTAACCAAACGAATATATTTGTTTTAGCAATGTATGTGGTAGTCCATATATGAAACATAAAATATATTTGCCCTAATTATTTTTTTATTTAACTTTAGTATATATTTCTTTCAGTGGAGGAAATAAACAGGAAACGAAAATTATGCTCAGAAGCGGATAATCATAAGAAAATTACAATTTGAAGAAAATAATTCAGAAGCAAATTTAAGCAAAAAAGAAACAATGCGAACAATATGTTTTATTTTAATAATTGACAATCTATAATCCGAAATCATTTGTCGATATGATAGCTAGAAATCTGGCACAAACAAATTTGAATTTTTGTTTAATCTAAAAGCATAAATCTTCGTGGAGGATTTGGATGAGTTTTTTTCTCAAAAATGTGTCCAACTCAAGAAACTGGTAAAATAGAAACTTCATTGGAATTAGTATAAGTTTTATACGAAAATAAATTAATATCTTCATTTCCGAATATTAATATTTGTCTGCGAATTTTTTTTTTATAATGGTTTCAAATGCAAGTAGTGAACGATCTTTCTCTACTCTAAAAAGGGTAAAGAACTACCTAAGAAATACAATTCCCCAAGAAAGATTTAACTCCTTAGCAATTTTGTCCATTTATCAAGACCTGCTGGATGAAATAAATGTAAAGTGTTATAAAACAATTTGCTACTATAAAGACTTGAAAACAACCTTTTAATTATTAGTATTAGGATTTCTCAATATTTATTTAAACTAAAGAATAATGTTTTATTTATTTATAACTTTTGATTAGTTTTTATTAGTTTAATGAAACAAAATATTAAACTTTTATTTTTTAATTAGTTTTTCTTAGTATGTACTTAGTATTGTTTATATAAACCAAAGAATGTTTTAATTTTTAGTTAGTGCTTTTGATTAGTTTTTATAATTTGTTTATAAAGGCTCATTTTATATTTTATAGGATACTAAGTTTACTGTTAGATACCAGCCTAACCAACCTAATCTTCAACTTGACGTGAGAAAGTAAGACTTAAAAATTTAAAAATGTTTTTAAAAAGTAATATTTTAAAGCATTGGGCGTTGTGTTTGTGCCAGAACCGGGCGGCGAACTAACTTAAACCGGCACTGTATAGGGTACTGAACGCAAGTGGCTTTGATTTGATCACAAAGCTTTTTAATTATTATCTCATAAAAAATGACTTATTTTCAACATAACACACTAGTACAATAAATAACTATTATTTTGTTGCGTCAAATGCAGAGATATAAATAAAACAAAGAATTCCATTAAAAAAATATATTAAATGTTTAAAATGTTCTCCGTTCTTCATTTGAGTTCCTGAATGTTCTCAGGTGATGTTTTGTAGACTTGTGTTTTTAAATGTCCCCAAAAGAAAAAAATCCAGTGACGTTAAATCTCGAGCAAACTGTTTCCTTGTTCGTGATTTTCTAATAACTGGGTAATAAGTAACATTTTCAAGAAGATTAAGTTGCCAAGAATACCATACATTGGATACTGAGTATTATCCTCTTGAAAAATATGTGGATTTTCATCGTCTCATTACCTACAATTGTGTTTATTTACAAATCCATTTGAAAAAAAGGAGATTTATCCCTGAAACAAAAATTTAAAAAAAAATTGGGAGCAACTGCATTTCTTTGCGTCATTTCCTCACAAAACTGGATTCTTCTGTCGTAGTCATCTCCGCTGAGTTTCTAGAACATTTGCATTTTATAAGGTAAAAACTTTATTTTTAGCACCTTATAAACGGAACCAACAGAAATATTTGTTAAAGCAGCTACTTTTGGAATAGATGTGAATATCACAGCAAAATGGCCGAGAACTTCAATTGTGCAGCTTCATCCAGTACACTCGATCTTGTGTTGTTTCTGTTTACTAGGTTACTGATTACTATAGTATATATATATATATAGCAATGGTTTTTATTAAATGGTGAATATGTTGCACAAGATGTTGAATTTCAAGAGTATAATGAAGAAGTTATGTGTTTAAATAATGAGCCAGAGATGGATATCCTTAAAATATAAGCCTTACATATTTTTCAATATTGGCACAATAAAGATATTTTTCCATATATTATTTTAAAACGGTATTCAATAAAACAGTAATATTTCCAAGTTTGTACACAGTAAAAAGGCACATTTACAAAATGATTTCATACAAAAAGTCTTATTTCCATATAATTTTTAAAAATACCATTGCTATAAATATTTAAATTTAAACCACCAATACGACAGCAGGTCTGAAGTATTATTATAAATTCATCAAATTTTTTTTAAAATAATCTATATCGCCCTAACCTATACCGGTTATATTCGTTTTATGAAAATATGTTGCAAA